AGAGAGAGAGAGAGATTTCTTTGAGAGAACTGTTCCAAAAACAGATTTCTTTGAGAGACACATTCTGACATTTCTGCTTATAAGAGAGCTTCCTGTGTGGTATTGTTAGGATAATTAACTGTTGTTTATTTGAGGTGTCTTAGTCGTGTTCTGCATTATGAGATCGTTTAGTGATGAATTTGCAGCGATTCAAGTCATTCGATAGCTACTCACTTTTAGTAAACATTACAGGTTGCAAGACGAGAGGGATTGATTTATTGCTATTGGCTGCTGGATATTTAGAATTTTGTGTGAGATGCATATATATTCACATGCCACTAGAGGTTAAGTATGTGATTAAAAATTCATGCATTACCCTTGGACTTTTTGTGTTATTTACCATATCAGTTCTTGTTTGTATGCCTGATATGAACTTATATGACTTGAGTTTCTCTCCTTGTTTTGTAACTCTTTCCCTTAATTTTCTAGGAAGCGGCTTCCGAGAGATTTGCATGAGGATGCTTTGGAAGCCACTTCTCTTCAAGCACTAGCCCAGGTTTGCTTCCCAGACTATATTGCGTCTGATTTTTTTTTCTTGGCTGTTACCTGTAGGTTTTTTATCTGTTAGTTGATGATTAAAGATATCATGCTCCTCAAATAAAATTGTGTATAGTTGACTTGAAATAAGTTGAGAAACCAATCATAGAAAAATAGAATTCCTGTGCTTTGAGCAGCATTTTGTTGCGACTATCCTCTGGACTGCTACCAATGACCTGTTAGTTGGCTATGAAACAATCAACTTTTGGTATTTTGGCTGTTTCTCTTTGTGAAAGGTTTCAGGTGGCACATCATCCATTCCTTTACTCTCCTGTTATTGGGGAGCTAGTAAATGAATATATGAGAATATGTATACGAATGTTCTTATATGTATTTGTGTATATCATAATATTATTAGCCAGCATAGGAGTAAATTAACATGCTTCTGCCGTTCTCCTCAATTGGAGTGACTTCAGCACTAAGAAATTAATTCTGTGATTTGTTGCAATTTCTATTTGGGGTTTTGATTGTTGCCAGGGTGTTGCAAAATGCCGAAGTGAAGAGTCAAAGCCTCTTTCATCATCATCATCATCAGCAGAGCCTTATCCCAACTATTTGGTGTCCAATAAAAAGTCAAAGCCTCTTTCATTTTACCAATAAAAAAAAGAAAAAACATGTAATTCGGTTTAATATTTGTTGCATGGTGCTTAGGATAACAGTCATCTATCTTAGATCTCAATGTTTATGCTGGATGATTGTGACCTCATATTTCCACCAGAGTTGCGGAAAGTTGCTCCACCATAGTTGCAGAAATTTGCCGTTTTGAGCTTAGTCTTAGTTTTTTTTGAGATAAGGACTATGAGGCTCGAGGGTATCTGGAATGGACATATCTATAATGCTTTGGAGACACAGGTGAATATCATGGTCTGGTTTTGGTGCTTGTAGTCCTATGACATGCTCCACCAAAATAGCCTGCACCTCAGAGAACTTGTTCAATTCAATGGAATTCCTTGTTTTATATGTTGTTCATTTTTGTTTCTTTTTTTTTTGTCCTTTCCTTGCATGTGCGTGTGTGTGTATGCATGTGTGTGTGTGTTTCTGGTAAGTTTTATAGATTGTCTTTGGGAAGTTTAATTTATCATGGCTAGAGCTTTTGCATTTCTCCATTATCATAGAATTGTGGCGTATAATAGATTTTTATTTTTATTTTTATTTTTTGTCTTTGCAACTTGCTGATGCATGCTTTTTTCATCCTCTTGACTAGAGTTGCAGGGAATTGAAATGCAGCTAGGATTCGCCCTTGAAAGCGAGAAGGCCACTTTATCAGTGAAACGGAGGTTGGCATGTGAGCAAGTAGAATATTTAGCTAAGGTTAGCCTTAGTTGTATCATCTATGCTTTCATACATATGAAATTGCTGAAAAGTTTAGTTGTGTGGTATAGGCATTACGCAGTTTCACTTGATTTGCGTGTTTTACTTCTATGATGTTATCCTAATTTGGGTGGTTGAATGGAAACAAAGAAGATAAGAAGATCTATGTTATCAAAGACATGAGGCCTGCACGAGGCAAGCAGCTTACATGTTGCCCCAAATATATGCTGAAGATTCAATAACGAATATATACCATATTTACAGGGCAAATGTCATGCAACTATAAAAAGACCCATTTATTTTGAACTACTTAATTATAATATCTGTATCCTTTTATATATTCCGTTTTCCTAATTGTTTTTTAAAAAGGATTTTCTTTCATCCTAATAGAATACATGGGAGGAACTAAGGCAGGTGGTGCAAACTCTAATGAGGAACCCTAAGAAGAGAGCTACGCATGCATATGCTTGTTCTCATTATAGGTGATGCTTCTTGTGTGAAATTGGTACACTCAATGATATGGAGATTCATCTTCACATTGTTTTTTAATGCAATTTTATGCTACATTTAAGCTTTTAACAATATGTTTAACTTTCTATTTCATATGGTCATAGGTATAGGGAGTTTCTTTTCATATTTTTATTTTGGTTGGTGTCAAAATTGATATGTCACAGTTTGAGATTACATCAAGATACAATAAGAAGTGTCATAGAATAATATAGGAGAAAGTTTTAGTTACAATATCACATTGCTGAGACATAGAGGATGCTCTATGAAGGCCAAAATATAAATCTCTATGTACTTTTTAGTTTATGTTTCCGTATGTATCTGTTGTTTTAGGCCGTCTTTTGTTTTGCCGATGTTTATCAAGGCAAGGGAGAAAATATATTGTTTTTCCTGAAAGAGAAAAATGAAAAAGTATAATAGTTTGGGATTGTATACAATGAGACCATTTACCTTTGGTATAAGGAGGTCACAATTACATATAACCATACGATGTGAAATCTAATAGCTTGGATGTGTCACAAAATTTGAGAAAATTTCTTTTGAACTTTGAGTTTGGTCATGAAATAAATTCAGCCACCCAATTTCACATCCAATGGTCAAGATTAATTGTGACCACCTTGTACCAAAGGTAAATGGTCTCATTATATACTTTCCCTAATAGTTATGATGAAAGTGAAAATAAAAATAGTAAGAGAGAGAGAGAGAGAGAGAGAGAGAGAGAGAGAGAGAGAGAGAGAGTAGTAGTTAGTTAGTTAGTATATATAGTAGTAGTGTAGTGTACTTATTACGTAGTACTAGTAGTACGTAGGTTAGTTAGTTAGTTTCGTTACGTTTACT